GTCGGCTGGGCACCGGCGCTTGATGTGCAGATTTCGTGGCAGGCGCACAGATCTCGTGGCAAGCACAGCACTTTGTGAACCTCCATGTGCAGATTTCGGGGCAGGCGCAGCACTGTGTGAACCTCTATGCGCAGATTTCGTGGCAGGCGCAGCACCGTGTGAACCTCGAGGTGCGGATTTCGTGGCAGGCGCAGCGCTTTGTGAACCTCCAGGTGCAGATTTCGTGGCAGGCGCAGCACTTTGTGAACCTCCATGTGTAGATTTCGTGGCAGCCACAGCACTGTGTGAACCTCCATGTGCAGATTTCGTGGCAGGCACAGCATCTGTGGAGCTGGAAGCTGAGAACTGGCGACTTTGTAGTGCAACTTTAGTATGCGGAGCAATCTGGTGCCAAGGGGTCGGATGTACGCCGGCAGAGCGCCGGCTGGGCGCCGGCGCTCTGCCGGTGGCCTTTGCGTGCTGTGCGCGGCGCTTGCTGCTTGCCAAGGGGCTGGGCACAGGCGCGCTGCCGGTAGCATTTGCGTGCTGTGTGCGGTACTTTTCTGTTAGTGATATGTTATGAACGGTTGTGGAAGGCCAACAACATATCACACACACACAGCTTCCACGCGCACCACATCGCACAGAACCAGAAGCAACATAACATCCGACGCACAGCATCTCAGCCTTAGTCCGGCTCTCAGTCTCAGCTGTGGTGTTTTTCTGTCCCAGATGCAAGTCTTCCCGAGTTTTCACTCTGGCATACGTTTCTTGCTTCTTGTGGTTTTGCGAAGATCACGTACAGGGTTCACTCACAGAATGATCGCGGGAAATTGTTTGTGCTTGGGTGGCTATTTCGTGACTCCATCGGATCCTCGGCAGTGGAGTTTGCTCGGCGCTCAGTGCGAGTCACTCAACATCAAGTGAAGTCCAGGTGTTCAATATCGGAGATGGGTAAGCTGTTTTATTTGAGTTGGCATTGATAAGCTGTTTTATTTGAGTTGTCCGTAACAGACCATAGCATCAATGCCAACTCAAATCGTTGGTTTTGGTGATATGATCCCAAGAATGTCTCAAATGTATGTCTTCGATTGACATGACCTGTTGCTATTGGATGACGTAGATGTGCTCACGCCTTCTTTCTGATTGAGGCGTCTTGCTGATTTCAGATGCATAGATAGACCGTGAGCACGCATCGTTGGTTTTGGTGATACGATCCCAAGAATGTTTGAAATGTATGTCTTCGATTGGCATGACCTCTTACTGTTGGATGATGTAGATGTCCTCACGCCTTCTTTCTGATTGATACGACTTGCAGATTTCAGATGCGTGTATGGAAGGCGCCGCCCATCGCTACAGAATGAAGAGATGAAACTTTGGAAACTTTGGAATCTATGTATAATTTTGCTTCTGTCTGATTATTGCGACTTGCCGATTTCAGACACGGTTTTTCAGCAGCGTGATGGCCGTCACTAGATGACGATGGGATAAGTGCGTGTTGAAAGAAAAACATGCTTCCACCTGCAGATAATTTTCATGGTTTGTACACCTGGTGTCTTTCGGTGCATTTGAGATCTTGTCTCCTCTAGTCGCCTCCGAGGTCGTTGCCTGCGCTCGTTCACGGGAGCTGAAAGCTACGTAGAGTCAACCGTATGAGTCAACCGCATGAATCGGTATGACCAGTATGCATCTTCCTGCTCAGGACACTTGGACCAGTTCGTCTCCGACGGCCGACTCTCTGACGAGATACACACAAACGGATACACGCAGATACACACTGATGAACAGACACATACACACAAACACACACCTTACAAACACCTACCTGCACACAAGCGTCATACAGCATGCATCCACCCACACACTCATACACACTCACGGACAAGCGCATACCTCGCCTACACACACCGACCCTTACGCATTCTATTTGTCTCGCCTGTCTCTTCCCCATGCTCACTCTTCAGCACCTTATGTCTGCAGCTTCAATCTTTCGAAGTTGTTCCCATGTGGGGTTATCCGGTCCTATAATTGTAGAGCTCGAGCTTGTGATGCCAGACGTCTTGTTGACCCAAGCACGGCTGCGATATCTAGGTCACCTTGCAGTCAAGGGACAGGCACTCTTTTGGGCAATGGTTCAAACTGAACAAGTTTGGTGGACGCTCATCCAAAAGGATTTCGAGTGGCTGCGTTACTTTTGCCCGACAGAACCTTGTCCGTGTCCAACTTCCGAGTGGAATGATTTCGCTGAATATGTGTGTGATGCGCCTATGAGGTGGAAGAGCCTTATTAAGCGAGCGGTGAAACGTAGTCAGAACTTTGCCGAGCGCAAGTACAAATGGGCAAAATGGCATGAAGCCATCTTTCGAAGTGTGCGATCGTGTCGTTTGGTGCCAGGCTGCGATTTCCACCATATGCAAGGAGAACATTACTGTTTGCAACGCCGACGAGTTTTTGAATCAGCGGCAGCATGTGCAGTACACTCCTTTAAGCAGCATGATAGACCTACTTTTGTTCGTGAATTTGTCACAGGGACCGCTTGCGAGTCATGCCTACGGGCTTACTCACGACATTCTGACTTACTAAATCATGTCAGATACAGTCAAGATTGCAAGCAGTTCTACTGCGACAGAGGCCTGGCGGTCTTGCAAGAGCCAGGTGTGAATAGCAAGGTCGACTTTGATGCCCGAGGCACGCTACCTGACCCAGTGCTTCAAGCTGAAGGTCCTAAGGCGATGCCGCTGAGGAATCAAGGGCACCAAAGCTACGCTCAGCGGCAGAGACATGAGCTGTGGGAGCAGTGGAACACTTCTCTGCGTGCAAGCGTTGATTCGACCAGCCTCTTAGAGCTACTTCGTGATGCGACAAGAATTACAACGCTGTACCATGCGGAGATCACAGCAAGCATGGTTGCATGGAGTCAGCTCCCCGAGGTTGTCGAGGCCTTTTCTGCCTTAAACGCCTGTGATGTTGTACAACAGTTTTTAGACCTTGCATCTGCCTCTTGGTTTTTGAGCCGAGACCTACCTACGGAGGTGCCAAACGAGACTGTTGAACACTTTTTTGCAGTGCAAGGCATTTGCATGGATATGCTTCCGTGCATCATTCCAGATGCACCAAGATATAAGCCCATGATGGTAGCGCATTGTTCTCAGGGACTCGTCGAGAGCGAGACCTCAATTCTTTTGGGAGCAGATGGGTTTTACTGCGCTGTCCATAGACATCATTTTCCACAAGGAACTGGGAGATTTAGGAAGGCCCGAAACCATGGACTTCTTTTTGAAGGCCCTTCAATCCGGCATGCTTGTCGGGTGGGTGGCCGGGCCACCATGTGAGACGTGGAGCAAGGCCCGTAAACACGAGCTTCCTGGAGGACCGAGGCCAGTCCGAAGCCAGCAGATGCCTTTCGGGTTGCAGGACCTTACTTACAAGGAGCACATTCAGGTTAGCATTGGGAGCCTCCTTTTGGGGATTTCTTTTACGCTGTTCTGGTACAGTGTGCTCTCGGGGGCGACTGCAGTGATTGAGCATCCGGCCGAGGTCGGTTTGGAGCCCAATGACCCAAGTATATGGAAACTTGATGTCGTGGCTTTCTTTTTACGCTTTTCGAATGTGAAGAAGATCCGAGTGCTACAAGGGCACTATGGGGGAGCGACCCCTAAGGCCACTGACTTGTTGATCTTGAATGGTGGCAGTGACCCTGAACAGATCCTCGTGCAGTCTCGTACGACCCTCTTGCCGAAAACATCGGCAATTGGTAAGAATGATGACGGGTCATGGCAAACAGCGGTGCTCAAGCAGTACCCGCCAGACTTTTGCGCTTGTTTAGCGCGACTTTTCGAGGATCAGTTGCACGAGGAGGCCAAGAAGAGTGCCTGCCACCCGAATTTCTAAGCAAGGTCGAACACTTTGTACAGTCTTTCGACCAGCAGGCGACGATGGGGCCAGACTTCAACGTGTCTGCGTGTAATTTGTAATTTAGTGCACTCTGGTCACAGGCAAACGCCTTCGACGCACAGAAGAGGAAAAGAGGAAGTGTTAAACATTTCAAACTCATGGAAGGCCAGTCAAACCAGTGATTCGTGCGACATTTCTTTGGTTTCTTGAAGTCGGCCTTCTTTTAGTCATCTGAACATTCTTGAAAAGGGCTAACGTGCAGCTGATCGATAAGTTTGGCAAACCCCAATTGCCGGCCAAGAACTGTGCAGACTTCACTTAATGCATACACGAACCCCACATGATTGAAACATGATCTTGGAATGGTGGCAACTGCAGAAAATAAACATGACAACACAATTGATACAAAACACACTCTTGGCAAAGGAAGTCTCCATGCAGTCATTGTGGTTATATGAAACTATACTAGGATATCTATGAGAGGTGGACAACAAAACACATTCTTAAGAAATAGTAGCAGCATCAATGCAGTGAGCACCCGTAGCAACAGTATCAACATTGCTTCAAATGGTTCGAAACAACAATTTCTTTGGCTTCATTTAGGATAGCACTTCGATTGTAATGTTATGAATGGCTGCGTGATATAGTTGCTTGTGCGCTGCAAACTTGGCACACAATATACACGCACTTCGAAAGAAAAAGCAGCCAAGGTTCAGCTACCACGTTGGCTGTAACAATCTCCCAAATTTCTGTCCTCACCTGCCCATCAAAGTGAGGAACACCACTAACAGTGTAGATGATTAATTGCGTTAATGACCCTAGGAGCACAAAAAACAACCTACTTGGAAAACCAAGCAAATTCAATGAAACTGCGACTCACTGCATGTCACCGGAGCCTCCTTGCTGATTTCACCGTTGTCATTGAGAGAGATGTACGTGACAACCTTGTTGACTCGGAGTGCCTCCAGCAACGCCTGCAACTTCAAAGAATCCGAAACCGAAAGCGGCAAAGCTCTGCGGCTCAAAGGGCGCCTTCGCCCCCACAGTAGTGATGCGATTCGAACTGAGAACAATCTTCTTGATCGTACGGTTCTGGTGCAACATCTCGGCTAAAGCCTGCTGAAAGCAGGCGCTTCTCTTCCTGGGATAGTTTTAAATTCCAAAACCCAGCAAGCAAAACGCCCATGCCTCCGCTCCAGCATCGCCAAAGCCACCTTGATTGAGGTAGACACTCGTCACCTGTCGGTTCTCCTTCAAAGCGGCCGCCAAGGCCTGGCTGCTCCGACTGCGCCAGGTTGAAATCAGAATGACCCAAGTCGCCTTCACCTCCTCGTCGCCGTTCTGCTCGCAGAAGAATGTGATAGAATCGACGCCTGGACGTCTAATTTAAGTTCAATTTGTTACTAGTAAGGCACTTGTTACTAGTAGCGATGCACTTGTCCAGGCTGATCAAATCGACGCCTTTGTTCTCCACCAGGATCCGGTCCGCCAAGTGCTGCGAGGCGAGGTGGGGGGACATGTGATGAGAGGCGGCATCGAGTTCGCGAGTGGAGTGGTGTTTGCAGTGGGGAAATGGGATTGAGAGGACCATGTGGATTGAGAGGACCAAACCTTTTGAGGCTTCATTGACAAGCAAATTGTGATATATGAATTAGAATGGGGTATATTCCAAACGCAAACATATTTTTGGAAGGCAAGTTGCTGATTTCAATTACTTGTTCAGTGATGCAAGAGTGCCTGACTTGAGTTTGGAAAAACAACATCAATCTCATCTGCAAATATGTAGACACAGGCACATAAATTAAAGGGTTCTTCAATCCTTGCCATGTTTACCACTAAAACATTGTGATCTCCAGCAAACGAGAATGTGTGAACGTTCAAAAGA